ACTGTCTAAGCTTCCCGATGCCAGTTGGGTGCCATCAGGTGAGAAGGTTACACTTCTAATATAGTCACTATGTCCTTTTAGAATGCGTGGATTCTGATCTAAATTTTTGAGAGACCACAGCCGCACCGTATTGTCATCACTGCCCGATGCCAGTTGAGTGCCGTCAGGTGAGAATGTTACACTCGTAACGCAATTGGCATGTCCTTCTAGAATGCGTGGATTATGATCTAAATTCTCGAGGGACCATAGCCGCACCGTATTGTCATTGCTGCCCGATGCCAGTTGAGTGCCATCAGGTGAGAAGGCTACACTCCTAATATAATTAATATGTCCTTTTATAATACGTGGATTCAAATCTAAATTCTCGAGAGACCACAGCCGCATCGTATTGTCTGAGCTGCCCGATGCCAGCTGGGTGCCATCAGGTGAGATTACACTATTAACCCAACCAGCATGCCCTTCTAGAATGTGTAGATCCAGATCTAAATTTTCGAGAGACCACAGCCGCACTGTATTGTCTGAACTGCCTGATGCCAGTTGGGTGCCATCAGGTGAGAAGGTCACGCTTCTAACCCAATTAGTATGTCCTGCTAGGATGCGTGGATTCTGATCTAAATTCTTGAGAGACCACAGCCGCACCGTATTGTCTGAGCTGCCCGATGCCAGTTGAGTGCCATCAGGTGAGAATGTTAAACTTATAATATAATTAGTATGTCCTTTTAGAATGCGTGGACTCAGATCTAAATTCTCGAGAGACCACAGCCGTACCGTATTGTCTGAGCTGCCCGATGCCAGCTGGGTGCCTTCAGGTGAGAATATCACACTATTAATCCAACCAGTATGTCCTACTATAATACGTATATTCAGATCTAAATTTTTCAGAGACCACAACCGCACCGTATTGTCTGAGCTGCCTGATGCCAGTTGGGTGCCATCAGGTGAGAAGGCCACGCTCCTAACCAAATTAGTATGCCCTTTTAGAATGTGGGGATTCTGATCTAAATTCTTGAGAGACCACAGTCGCACTGTATTGTCATAGCTACCCGATGCCAGTTGGGTGTCATCAGGTGAGAAGGTCACACTCGTAACGCAACCAGCATGTCCTTCTAGAATGCGTGGACTCAAATCTAAATTTTTGAGAGGCCACAACCGCACTGTATTGTCTGAGCTGCCCGATGCCAGTTGAGTGCCATCAGATGAGAAGGCTACACTATTAACGCGTTTAGTATGTCCTTCGAAAGTATGCATCTTTTCTAATGTTTCGATATAAAAAAGGTTAATTATTTCTCCACTAGCTATGGCAAGAAAACGTCCATCTGGGGAATAACAGCAGCATCTGCAAGCGTTCTGATCTAAAAAAGGGAGTTCACCGAATTGCACGCCCGACATATTAGCATCACTAAAATCTGCATATCGCAGCCACGCCCCTTTGAAATTAACATTACTTAAATCTGCCCTTTTAAATTTAGTGTGATCAAACACACCGTAACTTAAATCTGCTCCAGCAATATTAATGCCATTTAGATTCTTGCCATTAAAGACAATCCCAGATTTATTTAAAATTGTAATTGCATTTGCTGCGGCGATTTTGAAATTAGTGTCTTCTTTCGATTTTTCAATAAAGTTAAAAAGATTCTCTTTTAATTTTTCAAACTGTTGTAAACCTTCAAAACATATACTTTGCTGCACATACTCTATTAAAAAGCGAACAATCCCGGGTTCACGTAGTATTAAGTTTTCTTCAAATAATTTGGACCTAGGTTCTTTGCAAATTTCTTCACAGATTGCTTGGGCGACGAAATATTCGGATAAAGATTTGTGAATAAATCGATATTGGTTACCATTGCGACTTAAAGGAGAATTGTGGCGCAAGAGACGGATCGTAGGATATTTATGCCCGAAGAATTTTGCCCGCCAATTCGTTTGAGGTTTTATGTTATCTACGCCTGAATACTCTACTACTACCTCATTAGCCATAAACATATTAACTGCCAAGTCTTTATTATATTGCATACAATGTTGTGTAAAATTATCTTCATCTAACTCTTTAAAAGCCTTTTGTTCCTCGACATCCAATTGAATGTGATTCAAACGGTCTTGGGATCGCTCAAACCATTTTTCCACAAACTTATTATATAGCGCTAAACGTGTGAAATTTTTTGCCGAATTTTCATTCTCTTGCTGATATAGGTCTGGTATGGCTTCCATAGCAATATTTAAGATAAAGGGGTTACTTAATAACCTATCTGAATGAGGAATACGCTCTAAAGTGGCTTCATATCGTTGTGCATCCCACTGGATCCTTTGTGTGATATCTTTTTGTTTTACGTATTTTCTAATATATTTTCGAATTTCCACCTTCGAAAAAGGTGCTATCCATATTTCCTGGAAGTGTCTAGGGTTATGATTAGGATTAAACTTTTGCTGATATTTATCCCCTAGATATTCTGGTCGACAACTAATAATAACCTTGGCATTCCAGTCGCCGAGTTTATTTTTATTATAAAAATTCGATTGACGATCCTTAATTTCATCATATCCGTCTAATATAAAAATGAATTTACATTTTTGTTTCAAAATTTCGATATCTTCCTTGGAAAAGCCTATTTCTCCTAAATACTTTTGAATTATTTTCTTATTGGGATTTTCTATAGTCGTAAGTGAAATAAATATAGGAATAGGTTTGTTATTTAACTCGTCTTTTAAAAAATAATCCTCCCAAAGACGTTGACCAAGATGACGGTTAAACGTAGATTTGCCCGCTCCGGCCTCACCTAAGAGCAATAAAACCTTTTTTTCTGAAGCCAAGAAAGTATCCACCTCGGCCTTTAATTCAAACGATTCCGTGGAACTTAGAGACCATTTTCCTTTTGGTGGCACATATAAGTCCAATGCATTTCGAATTTCTTCGTCTAATTCAAATCTATCTAAATCTTCTTTGATTTTTCCTAACTGCGCCAGCGGTTCTGTAGCATTCGACGTTAAATTTTGTGATAGTTTAAGACGAGCTTCATTTAACAATTCGGAATAAACCTCCGATTGTTTAGTTAAATTAACTATATGTGGCATGCTTATGGAAGAATTGAGTGCATTTTCACTAGGCGCTACTGTATTAACCATCACTTTGGCGTAATCTTTCAAATCTTCATCTCCTTGGTTCGCCAACTGTCGCAAGATTGCTAATACCCACTCTTTAATTTCGGGATGTTGTTCCCACTGGTTTTCGTTTTGATAAAGATCCCCTAAAAACTTAACTGCCCCTTGTTGTACTTTTAAATCCTGTTGTATACAGGCAATCCATCCTAAGCGCTGACACAGACCTATTAAAAACCATTTGTTCTTATTATAAGGAGTTTGACGAACAAACTGCTCGAGTTTTACTAACTGATTTTCTTGAAGATATGTGTCTACAATTCGCAAAGCTAAATACCACAAACTTGTTTTTCTAAATCCCCGGAGGATATCTTCTATTCCCTCTTCTAATTCCTGACCTTCCTTGAACATGTCCTTAAGATGACCAAAACCCTCTTTAATATCTTCAAATGCATCACGGAAATCTTTATATGTTTCAAATAATTTTTTGGGATCAAAATTTTTAACTGCGCTGACTAAATTTAAAGTTCCAGTTGTCACTTTCAAAAAACGACGCATAACTCCTTGCCAAAATTTTTCATCATTTGTAATGTATAACAATGCCTGACAGGCGTAACGAGCATGGTAAGCTAACGCCGGACAATCTTTTAGCTCTTTAATCTGCTGATATAATGGCGCATGTAATTTTACACGACTAATACCTTTAACTCCTACCCGCACCATGGCATCTAACAACAGACAGATTGTTTGTAATAGTTCGCTGAGTTGGGCCTCATTATCTTGCCTATGTTGTTTTTCTAGATGTTCATGTAAAATTCTTAATATAGTCACTAAATCCCCTGTATAAACTTTTCCGACAATTGAATTGTGCATATTTTGAATCACTTGAGCTAAGCAAAAAAAATGTTTGGAATGTTGCAATGTTGCTTTTTCGATTTCACCAATACTTAGCTCTAATAAATCTTTATAAATTTCTTCATCCGGGATGGATGCTAAGATGACAACTTCATATATTATCTCTTTGGCTTTGGGGTTCTTATGAGCAAACAAGGAAATAATCTCCCGAGCCAATTTTCTTAGCCGTGAATCTTGTTCCTGGGTGCAGTCGTTAGATTGCAAATAATAGGCCAAATCATAAGTGCTGTGAATTTCATCTATCTTCGAATGTGACTCAGATGTCACAGGTTGATCCTGAGTAAAAAACTTTGTCTCTATTAAAGGAGTTGATGATATACTTGGACCGGTGGAAGAGCTTTCTGTTTGCAGGGATTTTTTTAATGTTTCAGGTTCGGTCAATGCTTCGCGTCCATACTTTTTGGCTTCTTTATAGTAAGTATCTGCACTATCCGTTTCTCCTAATCTTTTGCGTCCTTTTACGTCATGAAATAGTGAGGATCCTTGCGCATTCCTTAGATGACCATCGGATTTTTCTTTTCTAGCATTTTTCAAATGGGCTTTTTCCTTTTTAAACATATTTTATTTTAAATTTTAGTATTTTAGGAAAATATTACGCATTCTTCGGTAACTATATACACAAAATGGGTATTACGAAATGTAGGATTTTATTACATACAAGACGACAGTGTATGTTTTACCAAAAAATTTCTTTCACTATATGTGCATTTGGTACGTTTTTCCGATATAAATGTCACATTGCACTAGTGTAATAACCAGCCGTAACGATAAGAGGCGTGTGACGTTGGAATAACAATATTTTATACTCGTGGTATGATGGTGTATGTGTTACCAAAACAATTTGTGCACTCACGAAGTTTCTTCTTTCACTATATGTCCTGTCCAAGAAAGTCTATAAGGCCTATCTAAACGGTTTCCCGATATCGCACTAGTGTAATGAGTATCTGTAACGCGAAATTTAGGAACCTGTAAAGTTTCCCTTTTCAACGTACATGTATGTTAATCAGAATAGTTGCCGCAAGGTTTCTAGCATTGATATAAATAAACTCATAAAGACTCTTCAGATTATTGATGGGTATTAGGTCTTCCAAATTCAATTGAAACTTCTCTTGTATCTCTATATCTTGACATATTCCTTTAGTTTGAACTACTTTCATTTTTATTAAAAGAAATTACTTTATATGGTTCAAAAAATATCAATATTAATTTCTGCCTGTTTCTATCTCAGAAGTATTATTATTTCTTATAAATAACTTAATAATCTACTTTAAATATTAAATATTAATGTCAATTGGCATATTTATATTGTCTTTTTTAAAAATTATCTTTTACAATTTTTTTTTTAGTAGTTCAATACTTTCAAAAACTATTAATAAAAGGGATATCACTTGTTTTGTTTGTAGCCATAGTGATTTAAAGATTTGAGTATTGATAACTATTCAATTTAAAAGATATAAATTCATTTAACGCTTATATTGAGTTATTGTATGCAAATTTAGTAACAAATAAATATTTGTTTCACTAATATTGTTTAAAATGACATAATTGTACAATATATTTCCAATATTCTATTTATTCTTTTGTTTATCCATTTGTTTGAAAATAAAATATAATAGATATATTGGTTTTGATTTTCAAATATTCAAAAATAACTTGTTATAATTGACTAGTGAACTTTAAATAACTTATAATATTTGAGATAATTAAAAAAGGTTTAACAATTTAGCGATTTTTGAATAATAGTAGGCTGAAATCTCAAAATAAATATAAAAAAATATTTAAAAATATTAAACTTTTTTTTATTATAATTAACAACAATAATATACTTTTTAGATTTAAATTGATTAATTATAAATTAGATACAAATTTTATTATACTATATCTCATTTTTAAAAATCTTTAAATTAATCAGATTGTATCAAAACAGTTTAAATTTTTAAATTTAAATTAATTAATATTGTCCTATATTAATTCAATATTATAAAAATAATATAAATAGAAACTGATAGCAAAAAAAAATTTTATTAAGATATAATTTTTAATATAATATTTTATAATTTATAAATATCAAAATAAAGTTTAATATATAAGATTAAAAAAAATATCAACAATATAATTATATAAAAATAATTTTTTTAATCATTAAAAAAAAGATATAAAAATCTAAACTAAATATAATTAAGAAAATAATTATAGTCCCATCCCGGCTATTCAAAAATCTCTTGAAAGAATCAACTGCCCCACAAACATTATCAACATATTTATCAACCTCCTTAGCAACAGAAAAGTCTCTATCAACACACCATTCGGAACAACAGAACCCTTCACAGTAAACAATGGAGTAGAACAAGG